AAAAAAAAAAAAAAAAAAGAAAAAGTCTTTCTTGTTGGAGGGGTGGAGGAACACAAGTTTGCCTAACCTAAAGTGACACAACAAGCAAAAATCTCAGTTGTTCATCCCCCTTCCCACATTTTGGTTTGGTCTTGAGAGCATACAGAGCCTTTCCCTAAAGATTTTCAGAACACCTGCCTTTCAGTCTTCACCAGAGTAAAATCTCCACAACAGGTCAAAAGCCCAGCTAAGAAATTCCTCGTAGGGACATTAAATTCTAACCTTGGAACAAATAGAAGGCTACCTGAATCCTTGCACTGAACTATATTTTATGGTCATGCTGTGGCTTTCCTTAAGGGATGACTATAGGATTGTTGTTACAGATGCATGTGACTGACTCTTTAAGGTTGCCTACCTAAAATTTCTCTAAAAAATTTTACATTAAAGTTAAGTACTTGAAAGCTGATAGTTTCATTCCTGTAAAATAATAGCATGTTCCCCAAATCCTGATTATTTTCTCATATATATATATTTTGAGACAGACTTTCACTCTGTTGTTCAGGCTGGAGTGCGGTGGTACGATCTCGGCTCACTGCAATCTCCGCCTCCTGGGTTCAAGCGATTCTCCTGCCTCAGCCTCCCGAGTAGCTGGAACTACAGGCACATGCGACCACATCCGGCTAATTTTTATTTGTAGTAGAGACGGGGTTTCACCATTTTTGCCAGGCTGGTCTTGAACTCTCGGCCTCAGGTGATCCACCCGTCTAAGCCTCCCAAAGTGCTGGGATTACAGGCATGAGCCACCACGCCTGGCCTCTAATTTACAATTTTACTGTTATTTTAACAGATGCTTTTCTCTTGAAAATCCTGAAATGCTTACACGGTGTAAATGAGAAAACAATAGAGCAAATGATTCCCAATAACTTCAAATAAGTGGAGGTGGAAGAAAGATTTGCCACATAGACTGATGTCATAAAGACTCTTTTCCAACCTAACATCCTTAATCCTTAAATGTATTCCAAATAAAAATATACTGACCTAAGGCCGGGCGCGGTGGCTCACGCTTGTAATCCCAGCACT